AAAGCGACATCATCTATTTCCATTCAACTGCTCTTCCTCTATTGTTTGTCAGAGCTCAATTAAAAATTGGACGAGAACAATAAAGTTGCAAAATCGCAATGTGAAATCTGAAGTTTCACAACTTTAATTCTACAGTATTGACAAAATTTCACTCCATAAGCACTGCCAGCATATCCATTAAGACAAACAAGTGTTACTTAGCACTTCGTACAATTACATCTAAAGATTAGATTTTAAAGTGCCATAAAGCAACTGTGGGCCATCAGGCAGTTAACAACACAGTACAGATAATGAGCTTCTACAAACCAGTACTGTCTACGTAAGTAAAATATGCTCATGGTACCTTACTGCCAAGGAAATCCACTAGCAACCCCATGACACCTTAAACTTTAAAGCTTAATTTCATTAATCCAAGTTCTCGCTCAATATTGGTCAAACCAACTGCAAACTGCAGCAAAGAATGTTTTGGCATGTCCCTTAGTAAGGCTGAACTCAGCAGCAGAAACCACAAAACATGCAACCACCAACATCCGTAAGATGGAGAAACATGACCAGAAGTTCTCTCGTCTTTTTCTGCCTCCTGTGGCACTGCTGCTTCCCCCAGGCCAAAGTGCTACTTATGCTGCCAGGAAGAATGGAGGCTCAGGCTGCATGTAATAAATAGGGCAGAAGAGTGGAATCTGTCACTTCTCCCCTTGGCCTTTTGCAGCCACCATGTTGCCGTCACAAATTATCACTTACGTCTATCATGCAAGAAGGACTCCAGGCTTATTAGGCTAAGTTATTTCTGAATGTCAGGGCAGCAGACTTCCCCTTATCATGACGAGTCTCAGGGCACTCTTGTTAAATTCCATGTTGTAAGATTACAGAGGAACACACCACTAGGTTTGTCATTTCATAAACAGAGACCTGAAAATGTACGGACTTCCACATAGGTCAGGAAGCCAGCATTTATACCTACTCTGAGCCCTGACACTCCACCCCTTCTTGGGGTGTTCCCTTCAGCATCCATTAACGCCCACAGCTTGACTAGATGCCTCAATTAGGGAAAGGCCTGGACATACACAATATGTATCGTTAACACCCTACCACACCCCAGAGAATCTGTACCCCAGAAAAGGTCAAGTTTTAACAGGTGAGCTGGATGAATACGTGATAACAAACACCAGATGTTTTAGCAATATCAGGGTAAATGACAGACACTCACTTACCACTGAGTCTCTAAAAATCTCCTGTATAATACAACTCCTCAGACCAAACATTTGACTATGGAATACCAGGTGAAACATTTCCAGGCACAAGAGCTCAACTCCAAGAGATCATCCACAGTTACCTTTCCTGTTTTGTTTGTTTGGTGGTTTTTGCTAATTGTTTTGAATCTTTCTGCCTCCATCCCCCTTTTAGAACATGGGTTAATGCAGTGCAGCTTTGACACTTCAGTAGCTGGCACTTTGAACACGCTGTAAAGGCTTCAGAGACGACGCTGTCCTCAAAGAACTGAAAATACTCCTTGTTTTTTATCATTCAATATTGATAACTGGAACTTGTGCTAGGAAGTCAGGCTACTTAAGCCTGATGGTAACTTCCTTAAATCACTCCATCCGTGGAGATTAGGTTCTTCCTGAGGGCTGGTTTAAATTTGACATGCATTCTGCTTCTCTGCATTTCTTGAGAATCACCTTTCAATATAAAGAGCAAAATGGGAAAATTTTCACTGCTTAAATACAAGGACTAACCTGAATGAGCTTACTGTCTGCAAATGTATAGTTTCATAACAAAGACAAAAGTCTCTTCTCCCTTTATGTCCTAAACCTGACTCAGTAATCTTTATACTGCCACCATTTGTACTGTTTCTTGGCATTTATTCTGCAGATCTTTACTTACCAACACAACACTTCTGACACCATTTCGTGTCAGGAATTTTTGTAGACACTGCAAACTTCCTACAAGATATAAATACAGAATTATTGATCAACTAAAACAATGGAATGAATTTGCTTTTTAGAGAGTTATTGAAGAGAATACTGTATTTGCCCTCCAGAAAAACGAAAAATATTATTTATTTGAATATTTCTTCTCAAAACAATATGCCTATAACGTACTTGGTCCCTCTGTTAGCACTGAGATGCTGCTCAGTTATGCAGCATTACGAACGCAGTTAAAAGTCAGGAATGGAGAGGAGTACCTTCAAGAGTCATTTACCATTATCTCTTGCTATTTAATTATACATATTTATATATATGCCTGGTTAGTCTACTGGTACTCCCATGATCATTCTTTTTTGTAATGCTGTAACTGGTTGAATCTTGTGCTGGATCCTACACAGACAAAGTTCAGTCTTGTCCCAAGGACATTACAGTTCACAGACAAGACATGTGGACCCAAGGGGTGTGAGAAATGATGCTGTACTGGATGGCTTGCTGGGTCACATCCCTTGCAAACTAACAGCTTAAATTTTGAAAGACTCTTCATAGGCAGCACAGCACGCGTTTTAAGAGGAGGTCTGAAGGAGGACTGGAAGGCAGCTTTGCAAGAGCTGTTCTCATGTGCAAGGGACACGCCCTGAGAAATCATGAAAACAATTACTTCAAATTTATCAGATAAGCCAGGGGAGATGTTATTTGCTGGCAGTGGGAACTGGTGTTTCTACACAGACTAGAAGACAACAGACAGTATGGAGACTGGGCACAGTAGCCTTGACAGTAAAAATAACTAATCTGATGCTGTAGAAAAGATGGGAATAAGTGGAGTGATAGATGCTGCAGTCAAAGCTATGAATTGGAAAAATACTTGCATAGCATTTCAAACGAAGCTGTCCAGAAGTGACTGATAATGCAGCATGAAAACTGAATACTGGCCACAAATTTTGGTTGGAAGTAGTCACGGATGGTTTGAAAAGAACTGCTCAAAGACACTCAAGGGAAAGACGCTGGAAAGGAGACTTAGCACAGACATATTTTCCTCTACTCAATGTTTGCCTACCAAGTATCAAAAATTGAGCTTAGACCATTTTGCAGATGAATATACAAACCTCACAAATTACTTGACTTCTAGTTTGCTTTGCATTTTCTCTACCGAAAACTTTGCTTTTAACATATCTACATTTTTCATGTAGCACTCATCATCATGGTATTGAGGAACTTCCCTGAAGAATCCACTTTGTCGTCTGGTAGAGAAAAAAAAATTCTCTTCTACATACTTCAAATGTACTACTTCTGCCTGGCTAAATGTTACTACCCTGATGCCTTACAGCGAGGGATAAAACAGAAAAAATGGGTTATCTAAACGAATCTCTCCTGCCTTTGAATGGCTGGCTTGGCACTCACACATTCAGGTTGTGCTGCATTTTTCTTGGGAAGTGACATGACTGGACAAGAAGTTTTCTAAGCCCTCTGTGACGTAGGTGAGTTGTCATTCCAGGCTTCATGTAGTCTGAAGGTTTCCCTCATAGGATCCTCATGATAACTATGGTTACTAGTCCACTGCTGATGCAGTCCAAAGTCACCCAGCCAAAGTTAAGTTTGGAAGAGAGTGGAGAGAACAGTGGTGCAGGTACACAGAAGACAACAATTCAAAGTACAAATTATCTCTTAGGTAATTAGAATTTAGCCTCTAGGAAGAACACAATTTTCAGAGAAGTGTTGCACCATTATGTTTGCAGATGACTGAACATGAAGCCTTTCCTGAATCCAAGAATTTAATTTAATAGGCTGTTAATAGAACCAAAAGTAGCAGAGAATCAGGTCTTCTGTAAGTTTCCTAACAGACAGCCTATTATATAAGAAGAACCAGAGATTCACTAAGCACTTTAAGAATCAAAGGTTTCTCTGCAAACTAGATTACTGTTGCTACCTCCTCCTCTTGGATTTGAATAGGTTCCTTAAGCTTGTTTGGCAGTCAGCACTGTACCCAGTCTCTGGGATTTTGTACGCGCTTGTTAGTAAGTAAGATTGGAGGGACTGCATACACAACGTGCTGGGGACAAAAGTACCTTCTACACTGGCCTACGAAAAAATGCCTAGCCAATGATGAATGTCAAATCTGTACTCCAATTCTAATCTTCCCAGCTTTCAAAATAACCCATGAGCCCATTCCCTCTGCAGTAAGAGACTACATATCCTATTTTTTTTATTTTTTTTTTTTAATAGAATGGAAAGATACCACCCAGAGTAACTAATGTAAGACCACCATTTCTACTTGCTTGAAATATCACAGGCACAGTATCGACCCTAGATTTTGTTTAGCATCAAGTACAGCCAGGATCCACCATACTAGATTATACCTGAAAAGAGCTATGCCCAGAAACAAGAGGCTTCATGACAAGAAGGTAAGATGTACCAAAACTCATTTCTTCAATAAAAGTATATTCACATCTTTATTAATGTAAATTTAGGGGCTTACCCTCTCATTAATGCCCATATGAGTTATTCATGGCAATCTGTGAACAGAGCTCCACATTGTTTAGTATTCCCAGAGTTTCACAAGCATATTCTGAACTCCCAGATATTCTGATATATCTGATGATGTGTATTTACCTGGGAAGTATTCGGTCAGGGAGCTTGTGTGCTGGAATAGCAACGGGTAACTTTTGCATTTGCCTTGCATAATCAAAGAGTCCTGGTAGGTTATGGGAATAAAGCTGAGAAGCTTTACCTGGAAATTAGAAAACAAAACCACACTTCAAATACAAACCCAAATGTTTACCAGCACTACCACTCAAAGATAGCACAGTAACTTACCAGATATTGATAACAAGCAATTGTTCATGACATATAACCATGTACACCTTCGAGGAAATAGCTGACAGAGGGAAGGAAAAAAAAGAAATAAAAGCATTCAATTTAATAGACACAAAATGTGAGCACATTAAGTTCATCAATTAATATCTGCATGGACAACAGGACAAAACTAGTACTGACTTGCTTTTTGTAGCAGAAATTAGCTTAAGACGAGTAATGTTTACCTGGATTCCAGAGTTAATTCAGAGTAAATCTTAGGCACACGCACTATATTTAACATACGCATTAACATTTAGACAATTAGCACATTTTATACTCATGTCTTCAAGCATACTATAATTAGCCCACAAGACGTCATTATAAAGATCAATCAATCCTTTTAAAAAAAATTTAAAAACACCTAACTTTCTCCTTCAAAGGAGAAAAGCTTAACAACATAAACTTCAGTAAAGAAAGCACGGTCAGCAAACCATAGCCATTCAAAAGCCTGTGATAGTTCAAGTCTCTTGAAACAATCAAAACTGGCACTTGAAGGGACTCTCCATCTGCATATGATTACACATTTCACTTAAGTGATCGAGGAATACAACAAATATTCAAGGCAGAATTGTTATTTATCAAATCCCACAACTACTAGAAAGATGGGGCTGAAATCAACAAGACGTCCTTTCAAAAAACTAATATAAAAAGAAAAATTTTTTTTAAAGTGCTACTTTTTTTCCCCTCTCACAGAACTTCTGGAGCTTGTTGCCACAAGAGGTCATCAATGTGGAAAGTATCAACAGTGTAAACAAGGGATTAGACATATTGATGTCCACAGTTATATAAATGGACACAAAAAGCAAACAGGCAGGGATCCTCCAACATCCCCCACCTCAATGACTGTAGTGGGTTGCGAGAATGGACAGCAGACAGTGGCCTACTGTCACTTTAGGAAATTGGGCTAGGCAGACCACTCAGCAGGACATTTCTTTAGCTCTTGAAAAAAACCCAATATTCCACACCAAACAACAAAAAAACCTCACCACTCTCACTGTTGGTTTATTAGAAAGATTTGAAGAGAGCTGTAAATTAATTGAAAGATTTTCCTGCCAAAGAGCAAGAGATTCATCCTGAAGTTGCGCTAACTCCTGGAAACATATGTTATTTCTGCTTTGTCCACAAGTGAAGTGGAATGTAGTGAAAAATACCAAGGATACTACTTTTGCTTTTACACTGAATTGTATCAGACCTAGAGAGTAAACAATGAAGTGAAACACAGAATTTGAGAATGCTATTAAAGCCCTGTTATCGTAAATAATGATGTAATAAATGGTTAGCACAGAGGGTGCACATCTAGACTTGAAGTCTTCTCATAACCCAAACACACTGTAGGAAAAACCTATGGTTATAATCTACCAACCTGGCTGTATCCAAATTTAAGGTGCAAGTTTGATTGATCTTCTGTAGCTGCATAAGTGTATTGTGACTTAGTAGGTTTGAATCTGAGGATTACAAGTTGATTGACCTGTCACTTATTCCTCCTGTTTCACACATGACTGGCTGTTTTTACAAGCATCTCTTCTCATCTCTAAGTGCTTATTAAAACATCTCCCCAAAAGCTCACTAGGCAACGCACTACAGAATATGGTGCTTAAAGAAAACAAAGATGGATACAAGAGCATGAGCTTCATTACACCTATTCTCCTTGTCAACTTAAAATAACCCAAACCAAAACAAAAACCACTAACAAAACCAAAACCACAAGAAAAAAAAAAAAAAAACAAACCCCAAAACTTTCCTTGGTCTACCTGGCCTATAAGAATTATTGTGTTAGTGATATTTCTCAGGGTAGGTTTTACAACTGCAGTATAGCAGTGGATAGGTACCTGAGCTAAAGTTTAAACGAGCTAACCCAAGCACCAGCATGATTATGGGTTACATGGAGCTCAGTGCAAGCTAGCTAGGTCTTCTTCCAACACAACAGACATATCTACAACGTCTGGACCCTGGAAGATGAACAAACATCAGTGCCTCCAGCTTACAGTGTGAAGGCTGTCCTTGCAAATTCCTCCATCTTGATGGCTGATGCATAGCTCCCTAAGTTAGGGAGAAGGCAGGAAAGAAAACAAGTCTCTTAGAGATTAACAAAAGAGCTGGATAAGACACCATACAGAGAAACCTGCAATTGGCATTTCCCCCTCCCCGGTATCCCCTCAAAAAAATTACTATTTATAAGATTCTGCAAAGACAAGAGTTTTAATTGGGATTCAGTAAACTGTCTCAACAGCAAAGCTGCTTTTAAGACCAAAACAATGGAATCTAGTGTATAAAGGAACTCCTTCCTTCCCCGTAGCTGAAACACAATGTTTGCTGCAAATACTCTGTCTTGTAACAAAGCTTTAAAGAAATATAAACTTTCATCCAAAATGTATCAGGGAAATTCCATATTATTTAACAATCATTTAATAGCGGGACGAGGCATTACAATGAAGTTCAACACATTTATATATGCAGATCTCCTACTTAAACATGGTTCAGCCTACAAAAAAATTAAACATGACTGAAAGTATCCTCAATAGTAAACATTTATGGTAAGCCTCAGTGTAGCTAGTGCCAATGTAACTGTAGTAAACGAAATTTTCACAAGGATTATACAAAATCTGAGTAGCTAAAAAGAGTGACAAAGATGTATTTTTTTCCAAAATATCAAACCAGAAATATACCTGCTCCATTGATGTTTCATGAAGTTCATTGAGGTTCAGTGTGTAAATACCTTCTTCTGCACCAAATATCAAGTACTGATCTGCAAACACAAACAAACAAACAATCTAGAAATCCTGATATAAGGATGGTGTGTCTTATAAGAGAGTATGCAGCTCTAACAAAAAAAAAAAAAAATTTAAAACAGTTACACACATTGAAACAAACCAACCTATTATAGTTACTGTGTTTGAAAGCATGGAAAATTAACCTTGCTAAGGAAGCTTAAATTTGTGGATGGGGCTGTTTTAAGACATTAGGAAAAATCAGTCATTTTTTTGTGACTAACAATTGGAAGAAAAAACAGCAGTGATACAACCATAAGCAAGAATTCATGTGAATAATTTCCTCATATATAGATTATCCTACTTAGACATTTCCATATATTTTGTGGCATATTCATAGCCTTCTTTTGGAGTACTTCAACAGCAGTATTGATGTTTCCTCAGTACTTTGGGGAAAGTACTTATTCTTGAGCATATGATCCTGGACTGCATTTAGGCATGCGAACGAGACAGACACCTCAGATTGAGAAGGCAGCAACTGCAAAAGATTGACTTCCATAATTTCAGTTTCTAAAAAACCTACGTATTTTCTTGCTTGCTGGCTCAGTAGCATGTCTGTACAGCCTATAATCAAAAGATGAAATTGGAGGCAACACAAGTACAATGTTACCAATTATCCCTTTCATCAGGCTATATAATAAAGCACTAAAATTTATGCAAAAATAGAGTTGCAGAAACCTGTAGGACCAGAAAGGTTTAGGGGAAAAAAAAATTAAAAGTCTGAATGATTAAGAAATCAATCTTAACTAGAACCTCCAGAAGTCAGATTTTTTATAATAATGAGTTAGGATTGGTACCTTTTGGACTAAAACATTGAGAAGACCCTTGAATCAAAATCAAAAAAATATGTTTTTTTACCTTTGATATGTAATTTACTCTTTTTAATCAAAGCTGAAAACTGCACCCTCATATATCTTAACATAATTAAAAAAACCCAAACCACATTAAACTTCAGACAGCAGTGGTGGCATAATTAAAAGAAAAAATTCTGCTTATATGAATAAACCTATTTTAGAATATGTCTATTTTAAAAGGAACAGTCTTGCTCATTTAAGCACTCTCGAAATCTGTGGAGAGGACAAAAAGGGTAAAATATATCTAATACACTACCTCTTGTATCTGGATTTATCCATGATGTTGCACAATGAATTTTTAATGGACAGCCATTGAAAACCTTTGAAAAGCAAGCACCCATCTGTAGAAGTAAAAACAATTAAAAACATACATATGAAAAATTAAAATATGACATTTCCAATAGGATTATTTTTACTTAAAGTAGTAACAAAAAGTTAAGAGTAGTTTCATTTGCCATGTGGAAAACAACATCATCCAGACAAAGGGTTTTTTTTAAAAGTGATTTTTCCTTTGTGTGTAAAATCTTTCTGAACAAACATACCAGAATTTGCATTTCGGAATCAGCTCTTAAATTAACAGTCTAAGCACAAACTTACTACAAAAGGTGACAAACCTGAATAAAGAATAAAGAATTTTGTGACTTTGGAAAGTCTCAGAGAAACTTTATTCTTGCCCTTTTTCACATATTTAAAACTCCAGGTCATGCAACAATCAAAATCTTAGTCTCAGATTCTCTATTAGTTGTTTCAAATTAACTTATTTTAAATACTGATTACTTCCCAAAGGGAAATGTCTGGTAGAAGATCCCGCTCCTTGTTCAGCATAATCCTAACAAACTCAATTTGCCTAGTAAGTGTCTTGCATATAATCCATTTCTCCATCTTCTCCCCAGTAAAAGTACTTGGCAAATTTCCTTCAAGATGACAAAAAACCAAAAGCCATGGCTTCCTCTTTCTCCTTCAAACATCAACATAGCAATTGCCCATTCTATTTTGTTACGAAACAGAGTTGATTGACAGTATTGTAGATGAAAAGGAATCATGCAGCAGTAAATGCTAGTAGTAACGTGAAATGTTACAACTTATCAAATGATGGTCAAAGATAAGAATTAATCGTAGATAAGGATTGACATTCTGAATATGAGCAGGTATCACCTTTATGCAAAGCTCCATACTCTGTAATACAGCTAGAGAATGGTAATGTGTTCACTCTACAGTAATACTTTGTGAATTACTATCGATCTATAAACAGAATTATAGAAATAGGTCTCGTATTAGCATTCGGACAATTTTTTTTGTTAACCTGCTGCTGAATAAGAAAGTCTGCGCACATTTTAGCCATTTCTGAACATAGTTTAGTTTAACAAGGAAAGAAAAAAGAACTTTATCATTAACGCTTTAAAATGAAAAGCGGCAGAAATTGGACTGTTCTTTGTGATTCGGACATCTCTCACTCTCGCATCACTATAATGAAGTCCATATATACTTATGTGAGGGAAGAATCAAATTCATTAAGGCAATCAGCAAAACATGAAAGACCCCACTGCACAAAGACAAAGGGAAAGACTTCAGCACTGCTAGTACCACTGCAGAAGTCTGAGTATCAAGGCAGGGAGCTGCCTGCTTGCTAGAAAATGAGATAGATGATCCTTCTGCAGGCGTAAGAACAGAAGAAAAGATATACATGAGGCAGAAATACGAGAAGATACTGACACAGAGCGACCTCAAGGTACCAACAGCTTCAATGCTGTCAAATACTTTGGCAGCAAGGAATTTGAAGAAGGGATGGTACCAAGAAAAAACAATAAAGGGATTTTTGGGCAGTTTTATGGAAGCCTCTTCCCAAGTGCACAGGGCACTGAAAGGCACTCAACAGAAAACACACCAGACGACACTCAAAGCACTAATCTCCTAGAATACTGGTGGTTTTGCTGCTCCTGTAATGAGCTACATGAGTCTCCTTGATACTTCCCAAGCACTGAAGAGAGATGCTAAGACCTAGTTGAGCTCTGCAGTGATAAAATGGATAAGAAAGAAGGAGGGGATGAAAGTCAGAAGAGACTAATCGTTCTTCTCTGGCCATTCTCAGCCCTGATCTCGACGATGCCTGCAGAGCCAAGATGCTGCTGCAAATGCCTCAGAAGGGTAAGCAGAGCCTGGGAGTATCACCTGTAAATACCAAACAAATCTCAAGGATACAGCTGAGAATCAGTCACATTATTGAACTGAGTTGCTAGTGGCGAGGCGGCACACCCTCCCA